GATTTCATGACAAAATTATTCATCCTCATTCGTCGGGAGATATCGAGGACGCATCTATGGACATCCAGGGACATCCATGGAGGATCCATCGAACATTTTTTTCATTGAGGTCAGGCGCGATTCTTTGCAGACTCGCTCTTTTGACATCGCAAGGGAGAAAAATTGTTACTCGCGTAGTTTACTACCAGTTTCAATTTAAAAACTTTTCCCCATAACCTGCAAACATTGCACATAAAAGCCTGTAAATTTCCTGTCGATGACTCACATGGTACACCGTCTGCAGGCGTATACGTTTTTCGGGACTTTTATTTGGGCCACCTGGTATTTTCGTAGAAAATAAAGGAATAAGAGTGTGGGATCAAGACTGAGAAAGTTTGAGGTCTTGGGTTGTAAGAATCGCCTGCGAAGACGTATAACGTTCAAAAGCATATTTTCACGTGCCCTCTCTGAGAAGCAATTCCTGCTTTCAACTGCCTAAATAGTAAGTCAATAGGCCAACAGATGGCACTTGGAGTCCGTAAACAAGAGGAGCGCTTACGAGCCCTTTAGCCAGGAGCGACGATTTTGTCAACCCTGTCATGGCGCTTTGACCATGACAGGGTTAAGCTCCAAGCTAAGTGTCAGAGGGAAAGATGAAGTGGAGGAACCCGCTTTGAATCGCCGATTCAGTTCTGGTGCTCCCAGAAGTCAGTCTGAGAAGGCTGGGGTCACAAGTGTTCGCTGCTTTCGGATCAAACGATAATGGAAATCTCTTCTTGCCTGCATTCTAAAAAGTTACTTCCATAATTTAAACTCTGCCCAAAATACAGAGGGGGATTGTAGACAGTAAACCATCGACGGACAATTTTTCCGAAACACATCAGGGTTCGGTGAGTCTTCCTTGCGGTATTTTTTTTCATATCGGAATGACTCGTCTGCACATGCGTGGAAGGGATCCAAATTAACAGATCGAAATGTTTGTCAAATCTCCAGAATGGAGATATGGTTGAATCTCATGACGTTATAACGCACGGATTTCACCTGTGCTGAGCTTAACGATTACTGCACCCCTGATGGTGCAATAAATGTTTGGCTCAGCACAGCTCACCACTTCGTCCACTTTACACTCTCGCACTCCAAACTCATTTGACGCGGGTGTAAAGTCTAAGGACTAAGGGCACCCTAAGCTTCTCTCGAAGAAACAATATGGTAACCAAATTTAAAGACCTTGACAATGGGAGTCACAGCAAGCTAAAATTGCTAAGTTGGTTACTTGCTCCTCATTCTGCGACGCCATGGTACAGACAAGATGTTGCCAAGACTGCTATACGTGATGGAAAGAAAAAGCTTCCTTGAACCACCCCTGACGTCACTTGGAACGCAACAATACCCTAACCTGCCCCCTTCCCCGCTTACAGCTGCATACGTGCATTGATGAAGATCTACTATGCCATCCGGCGCGACCAGCAAGAGAAGGACGTAGTCTCTTCACCGCGAGCACGACCGATCCTCTGGTATCCTCAGTCGTCCGCAAGAGCCATCCAGTTGTCATGAAGAAAGCATGCAGCAGAACATGTCTCCACTGCATCCTCAACCAAGGCGGCGGGGGAACTACAGTTCGTCGCGTCGGTTCCACCATAACTCTCAATATAATAGCCTGGCAGGGTCCATTGGTAGCCCCGAACCATGTCCCTGGCCGTGGCGAACCATTCTCTGCGTTCAGCGAAGCAAAAAAATGAGGGGGTGAGAAGCCCATACAAGGATTTCCCTCGATTCACTTTCCAATACCAACAAAAGAAGCCGCTCCACTCTCCTCGCCTCCTGAGTAATAGTCAACTTGGGTTGCTCTCCTGCACCTCTTTTTAAAGAGAGACTTTTGCAGGATTTTACCGCAGGTCCCATCCCGCTGCCAGGATTAATCCTGATTGCTATTTACATGTGGGACTGACCCTACTATGCCTGTTTTATGCCTCATTTTGGCTAGTGGAAAGTGGACGAGGAATTCGTAAACTACTTGAAAATCTGAAATGCTAAGTGGTTGTCATTGACCACGTGACCTTATGTGGTGTTTTTCAACGGGTTTCGTACCTATTGCATATTCGAAGTCACGATCCGCAAAATGTTTCACACCCGTCTCAATTTGGTTCTTACCTTTTACAAATGGGCTCGTGTTCCCCTCCTGTCACATCGTCAAGGACTCAGAACGTCGCGAAAATAGAATTTTCTGTGGAGACAGACTGCTCATTGGGATTTCAAATCTCCTGGCCTTTTTGGGATTGCCGAAAATATAGCACAGTGCAGAGAAATATAATTGCACATACGTCTAGTTAACTAGAAGTCGAAAACCTTTCGCTACCAAACCGATTGAGTCAAAATCGCGTAGGATTTTAGCCTTCAAAGCCAAGAAACACCATTGTGCATCATTTCCTGCGAAGACATGGGACATTGAAAGCCATATTGCTCATAGATTCGCACAGCCTGAAGCTATTTGCGATCCTACATCTCTTTTCTCTCTTGGCGGAAATGAAGTGAGTCTGCACTAGATATTTGAAAAAATTCAAACATTTGAGAAAGGGGATATCAGGTAGGAAAGGAATCAAATTAATGTCCTCTCCTTTTGTACCGCTCTGCATCTCCAAGGCTTTCGATGCCCTCAGGAAATAAGAACAACGTAGAAGCCGATGCACGCTAGAGTACAAGAGGAACGAAAGAAAAAGACTGGAAGGAACACCAGATCATCATTCATTGGAGTCAATGCATAGGAAGTAAAAAAAAAAAATGGTCGCACACTTTAAAAAATAACATGGCAACATGTCAACATGGACACAAGGCGAATTCATCACATGAAATCAAATTGATCCAAATTTGAAAGACTTAGTCAGAATCCCTCTGCATCTTCTCTGTCTTGATCGATCTTCACGGTCAGCCGGATCTCGTTAATGCCCTTTAAAGGATCAGCGGATTGTCCATTGGGGTCACCATTCGTCGTCGTCACTGGAATCGCCTCCACCCACTGTCTGCAGCCTATATCCTTCCCCTGAATATCGTCTGCTCACATGAAAAATTAATACAGGAATGCATCTAATGTGCATAAAATATGTCACTTAGGCTAGTACGTTAGCAATACGGTAGTGCAAAGACTTATTATATTCAATATTCAATTAATTAAATATTGAATATTCAATATTTAATTAATATGAAAAATGCAGAATGAAAAATAGATGTCAACCCCTCAAACCTTTGGTATGCTACATATGTTCTATCAAATGGATGATGAATGGAAATAGCTACTATCAAGATACCCCTTCAGCATAATTTTGTAAGGTCTGAGACTTTTGTCTCTGGTGAAAAATAAGAACATTTGAATCACATAGTGATTCAAATATATGGGAATCTTCATCTACAGTATCTCGGCTGTGTTCGATGTCAGAAATACTAATAGATCACAAGTTAAAGGGATTCCATTAGGGATGGCTTTCGTCCCCTCACACTGTATGACAACTAACTACCATAGCTAGGGTATTTAGAGCTTCAAGGTTTAAGAATGAGAAAGTTTTGAAGTCCTGGACGGGGGACTTTTTCAGGTGAATTAAAAAAATACATATATTTTTTAAGGTTTGGGATTTCGATTGTTGCGAAAGATTTGACATTTCGCCATTAGACATCCTCGCCCAATACGCAACGAAATAACTCTGGGACAAGAATGCTTAGCTGAGGCCTATGCAAAATTGTTCTTGGCAGATAAGAACGAAAACGAAGCGAAAAGAGTCAACGCTGGTAAATGAATTAGTTGAAAAGTAGACTTTTTTAATCTTATTAACAACAATGAAAAGGAAGGCCGAAACACCCTCCTCTACGGGAGGGAGACATTATATTCGTATGAGCGCCGTGCGTACAAAGGGCTCTGTCTGACTACCTGGAAAGTTCACAGAATAAGCGGGGGGGGGGGGGGGGGGGGGGGGGGGG